TGGCCTTCAGGAAAGCCGTCAAGACCTGGCTGTTCCGGCAGACCTGGGGCTGATGAGTTCCCAGCCCCACTCGAATTTGTTGTGACTGTTGAAGTTTTTTTTAATCTGTTTTTTTGTATTTTGTTGTTTGTCTTGTTTGTTCTCTTTGTATTGCCCCTTTCCCTATCGGTTTGTTAGCCGCCCTGAGTTCCTTTGGGAATAGGGTGGCATACAAGTTTCATAAAACTGAAAACTGAACTGAAACTGATTTCTTTTTAAGTAGGTGACACAGCAACCCATCATATATTGTGGGTGCCCATTGCTTGAAAAGTCTGCTGATCTCTAGACCATCCAACAACATAGGTAGATTTCAAAACTGCCAACTGTAGGCATTGCTGGAATGTGTGTAGACACCAAGATAGCAAAAACTAGCATTTACTTAGTCCTCATCTCTTTTTACACAACATATGATTTTCTCCTATGGGTTAATTTTTGTAAGTTTATGTCATCAGAATAGGGTGATGCGGTGGCTCAGCAGTTTAGAGGCTGGGCTTATCAGCTAGAAAGCCAGCAGCCCAAGTTTGAGACCTGAGCACCATGTGATGAGCTCCCTTCCTCCCCTCCGCTCCGGCCAACCTAGCAGTTTGAAAGCATGCAAATGCGAGTAGATAAATAGGTACCACTTCAGTGGGAAGGCAACAGTGCTCGGTGACATCATGGTGGCCACATGATCACAGAAATGCCTTCGGACAGTGCTGGCTCAATGGCCTTGAAACGGAGATGAGCACTGGCCTCTACAGTCAGCAGCCACTAGGAAAGTAAAATCCATAGGGATGCCTACTTTACTTCACCAGAATGCACATTTTTTACAATTAAGGAAACTGCATTACCCAATGCTCTGCAGTGTTCTTTTTTCCAATAAAGACTTCTGACCCACTTCTCGTAAAATAGCTATAAATGAAAAGTTAGCCACCTCCCAGTCATTAACATCTTGCAAAATGCTTCATTTAAAAAAAAATCCATTTTGTAACATCCCACATGCAGATGTAAAAATTGGGTTTGAGCTTCATGGCTGGCATAGAAGAAACCCAATAAATAAGGTAGCATCGTACATTGGCTACCCATTTCTCTTTGGTTGCAATTTAATGCACATTGTTTTGAGAGGAAATCAGGCTTATTGGTATCAGAGTACTTGTTTCTGAGTAAACATGTTCAGTAGTGAGCAAATAAAAAGCTTGCATTGGTCTGGAACAGGGGTCAGCAAACTGCGAGCCGCACATGGCTCTTTTCTCCCTCTGTTGCGGCTCCGTCACCGGTCGGTGCCACAATTTTGAGAGGAGCTTCCAGTGGTGGGTGGAGAGAAGCACAGTGTGCCAGGAGAAGACTCTATTGCAAGGGGAGGGTTTTCCAGTTGTCTCCACAATTGATAGGGCTTTCGGTTATGACAGGTAGAGGAAAAGGTACACCATGCTAGGAGGAAACTCTATGGTGGGGGAACTGAACTTCCGGTTAGCTCCAGAATTGAACAGGGGGCTTCCGGTTAGGACCTTTGTGGCTCTCGGTGTTTTCTTTTCTGTGGGGAACAGGTATGCTTTCTGTGCTACTGGTTCAGCTTTTCAAATAGGACTGGAAAACCTGAAGACCAGTGGTGGGATTCAATTTTTTTTTTACTTCTGTGGGCGTGGCTTTGTGGGCATGGCTTTGTGGGCGTG